GCTTGTAAGTACGGTAGCCATGATCTACCGTATGTACGGGCCACGACCAACAAATTCCGCTTCCGAGCACCCTTCAAGTTAAATTTGGTAGGAGGAATGAAAGGGATCATTGAAGTCCTTCATATTCTGAGAAGAGACCTTTAACATCATCGAACTCGGGTTCCTCGCGTAGAAGGCTTCACATAAAGAGACCGTACATCAATGATATCGAACTCGGGTTCCCTCGCAGACTCGCATGACGACCATTCTCCCAGCTAGTACGTGTTAATTGCACGTTCTCGCCAAGTAGCAGCTGTCACCGTCACTGGCTCGCTGCTTGATCTAGTCATTATATGCAGAATTTACATGAACACGGCTTACGTGCTCATGTCCGGGTGCAACATTGACAAACTAACATTCTCGACCTTGTTATATTCGAGATGAGTAACTCCAATTGAGCAAGTTCAATACTCGTTCAATAGTTTTGACATGCTTGCCACTGGTTTTCTCGGGCTTGGCCAACCACAATCATGCTATGCTGGCATGCCCTAACGCTTGGGTAACCTTCTAAGCCTTGCACGTCAAAATAGGAGGAAAATAGGCCGGTTTTAGACCATGTAACCGGCCGCAGGCTTACTGCCCAGCAGAACAATTGAAATATCAAAATTGACAAGCTAGAGAACACGAGGAGAACATCTATCATCGAACTTACTCAAGCTTTTGGCTTCAGGTGTCTGTCATGCCTGTCATAATCGAGCCCTAATCGAGTCGAGGTCGATGCTTGACCAACCGTCCATGCTATCTAAGAATGCACTGGCCCAACGAACAAACTACCAACGATGTCCGCATTGAACATATATATGCACATTAAAACATATGCACTGGCATTTTTTTTTTCTTTCTTTTTAAACTAATAATTGGACAGAGGTGCACCGGTATCAGACCGCCCTCTGAAGTCTATATTACCAGCAACTTACATAAGGTTGCAGGAGCAAATTTGCAATCGAGCTTATGTCTGAGTCTCACGCCTAGCCAACTAGACTATCAGACTAGGCAGAAACATATCCGTGCATCATTTTATATGCCTATATGCTCATATGATGTCCATACGCTATGCGCTCGACCCGGATCCGCCTAGAGCTTATCGAGCATCAAATTACGGCCGGATGCTTCAAAACGACTTGTACATGGTTGGGAAAAAGCGTGCCGGCCTCTGGAAAGGTGAGGTTTCTGATTGATGGAACTGATATAATTGCAACCTTGAACTAATAAAATGCGTGGATATCGTGTTGGTACCGAACTCACCCCTTCATGACCCCTCAATACCGGCCTTTGCAATATCCATGCCATTTGAATGTTCTCTAGCCATGCAATCAGGCTCACATTTCAAAGTCAATTCTGCGCGCATGTGCCAGGCTAGCAAACAACTACTCCACAACATGTCACATGCGCTGCATTTGACAAGTTGACTGCCAGCCCTAATTAGTAACATGGAATGCGGCCGCAATTCTCAACTCACGCACCGCACAATGATTATCGGGAGGATGTACCTGAAGTATGTCATTGAAATTAAAAGCAGACGCATCTATTTATTTGCATATTGTGCACTGCTATGCACCACCTTATCGTGCATATTGTCTTGCACGATTCACCGCTTTTTTTGCTAAGAAGCTCTGCTAGCAAAGTGCATGCAAGGCGCTGACAGCCTTGACATCAATGCCCTTTGGCACTTCTACCACGTTTGCTAGCTTCTTCACATTGAAGACCTTCGAAAACCAATTGTCCGTCTTAATCAATAAAGGACGAGTCCTACGAGGAATTCTGGGAGCATCTCACGTCAAACTGCATCTAAAGATCAATTTCGTGAAGTATCTTTACCGTTGCCTTTGCCCTTCTTTCCCGCGCTGGGCTTCTCAGCTCTTCCCTTCTGCTCCGGCTTCACATACTTGATCGGGTCGATGATCACCCCCGTGCTCTTGATCACAGGCGGCCGGATCAGGTTCCGGTGGGCGGAATCCGTGTTGTACTCCCGGCCGAGCGGATTCCGCAGGCTCCGCTCGAAGGCCTCCCGGTCCTTGAAAGGGAAGGGGACGCCCTCGGCGGCGTACTTGGCAGCCTGGAACGCAAAGCCCAGAATTAAAAGAATGCATCATCACCTGACGTCATGCATAGTGACTTCGTGCCTGATGTACCTCGCAACCTGTCACCGCGTGGTACAGACGGGAGAAGATGTGGCTTGTTCACAACGAGCTTAAAGGCCGGGAATGCCACGTCACCGCTTCTGACGTGCACCCAACAGCCTTTTCAAGAACGCCACCTGCTCCGCGCTCCTCCCAGACTGGAATCAACTCCTATGAGCTTTGTGTTGCCGCCAGTCGAATCAGACATATGCAGCACCCTTACAGGGGAGCATTGAAGAAGCAAACACGAAGAAGAGCGTTTTTTCGCAAACACTTTACAGGTAAGCTTAACCGGAGCTCAAGGTCCAGAACGCCTGCGCTATGCTTTCAAAAAAACTTCTTCATATTCACGTTCTCACAATCCGATCTCAGCGTCTACGATCACAATTTTAAGGGCTTACGAGCACCTTGCACCGTGTCTATATATAACTCAACAGCTGACGGGCCTTCTTTCTTGGAAGCGCTCACAGGACACCTGAGCAGACAGGAGTCCTGCCAACGTTCTGGAACAAATTTCCCGGAAGGACGCGCTTTGAACGAACAAAACCCCAGTGACGTGCTCTGCATTGAGGACAACACGTGTCTCCAATGATAGTCAATCACCCTCACCTTCTTGTCCCACTTCTCGCTGATAATGACGTGCTTCCTGCCGGCGTCTTGCCGCTTCGCCATCGCCTGGTTCCGCTTCTTCTCGTTATCCTTCTGCTCTTTCACGATCCAACCGGGGAGCCCCTTCTTCTTCTGGACGCCAGTCCATTGGCCCCACCCGGGGAGAGTCACCGGGCCCTCAATCGCCGGAACTTCTTCGTCAAGCTGCGGAATGAAGACGGCGGACTTGTTAGACGAATGACGGAAAAGGAGACTAGGCGTGGGGAATGGTTTTGAATCGCAATCAACGGGAGAAACACCGGGCCCTCAATGGCCGGGACTTCTTCGTCCAGCTGCGAATCGGAAACGGCGGGTTTGTTAGACGACCAACGGAAAAGGTGACCGGGCGAGTCGTGGCAAATTCTTTGAACCGCAAGTGAGGGGAAGCACCGGGCCCTCAATGGCCGGAACTTCTTTGTCCAGCTGCGAAACGGAGACGGCGGGTTTGTCCAGATTCTTTCGGTTGAGCAGCAGGCTCAAACTCTTGAACGACATTATAAGAGCAAAATATTGCGAGGTTGTGCAGGTTTGAATCTAAGAACCAAGGAGTACAAGCCTCGCATCTATTGGGTTGACCAGGCCGATGGCGGGGACTTCTTTGTTTTGCGGTAAATTTGAAACGTCGGGTTGTTCAGATGATGATCAGGATAGTGACAAGCAATTTGCGGCGAAAGATCTTTACAACCCAACTAAGGAGAATCACCGGGTCATCGATGGCCAAGTCTTATTCGTGCAACGGTATTATGGCGGAAGAATTTTAATAACCGACTTTAGTACGAAACCCACATAGAGTGAAGAAAGGAGCGAGTCTAGTGTCAGATCTCTCTTTCGTTCATAAGTAACAGACGGACTGCTCGACGAGAGCCGAACTGCTGCGGAAAGACGACCTTGCATCAGCTCATATTTGCTCTCGTCGAGGCCACTGATAAACATGTATGCGTTCTCATTAGACAAGGTTCCGGCACTCGTCACCACACCTGGTGTGACCATCAGCCCAACAATAAGTCCAGGACAACTCTCGCCACACAGTCACTTCAACACGCCTCAGCTGACATCCACCAAGCTGACGTCACCTCACCATCTCAGCCTTGCGAGCTTCGAAATCCGCTTCCACGTCATCCCCCGCAAACGCCCTTCGGACCAGTTCCGCCTGTGACAGGTCTGTTTGCAGCAGATCTGCGCCCGGAACGCCTTCCCCCTCGTCTTCGCTTCCCCCCTCCAAAAACGTCACCGCATCTACCCCCCCATTCTGCTCTGGTCGTGCATTAAGACCATCACTCCCTTCGTTTGCATTCTTCGCGCCACTCTCTTCCGCAGGGCCTATCCGTACTTCCGATGAACCCGCTATCTGCGCACTGTTTTCCCCATCTACGTGCAAACTCTCCGAACCCGCTTTCTGAGTACCGTTCATTCCCCCTTTTACTCCCGCAATCTCCACGCCGTTTAAACCCCGCTTATGCTTCTTAACCGTGGCCCCCGCTGAGATCGTTTCGTCCGCTACTCCCCCCTCCGCCCTACTCTTCTCGGCCCCCCCACTCCGGAACAACCACGAGTGAGCGCGCTCCCCGCCCTCTCCCCCTCCCTCCATGCTGACGTCACCCCCCCCGTTTTCGATGCTTTCCGCCACCCCCCCTCCTCCCACGCTCACAGGCCCCTCCGTTGCTGTCCGGAACCCCCCCGGCAGCCCCAGCTGCGCCAACTCACCCTCCCCTTCCAGAATCTCCACTTTTCCCCTCCCCTCAGCAGGCCCCCGTTTTGCCCCCCCTCTCCGACGTCCCCCCTCTCCCTCCCCCTTTGCTTCCCCCTTTGCTTCCCCCTCGCTCTGCGACCCCCCCTCGAGGTCGGAGTCCCCCTCAAAATCGCCGCCCTCATCGTCGCTTGCGTGGGGCCTACTCACACCGGCAGCCGCCGCGCCGAATGACATGCGGCCACTGGTGCCAGGTGGCAGCGCCTCGGTGGTGCCACGTGGCGCGTCCTCGGGGTTGCCAGCTGTCGCCTCGGGGTCCTGTCGGTGCTCCAGCTCGTCTAGCAGCGCCATCGCCTCGTCACGTGCCTCCTGACTCTTGCGGTCCAAGGCACGTGCCTGTAGAGAGCAATACGCATGCTGACATTTCTGACAATGTCACAGGAATCACAGAGATGTCTTTGACAACTTTAAACAGGTTAAGAACATCTTAACACTTGAAGTGAGAGACGTGTTTCCGGTTTGAAAATCAATTCTGGGGACTTCACAGGTACCGGAGACATGCTCCCCACGACTTTACAAAACATAGAGACGAGGAACAACGACGGACGGAAACTGACGATCACTGGAGGCGGGTAGAATGAAAAACGAAGCAAACGAACACATGTATACATCAAGATAGAACAAAGAATGCAAAACAACGATGACTAAGCAACATTGAAATGAGCATGCTGAGGAACGCATCTAGATAAAGCAAGGGCTCTTTGCGCCAGCAGTTGACACTTCGTGACCAGGAGAAGAGAAACCAGGAAGACGAAGGACAAGTGCGTCAGAATGCGACATCTTATGGATTGCGGAGCGTCTGGCAGCGCAACTTCTGTGGAGCAGGGAATGAAATCAAGCAAGTCGCAAAGGAAATGGCGACGGTCCAATCTCATCGCCACAGAACGAACACGACCACAAACACTCAGCGTTTTACTGGCTGACACTTTCGTTTGCAAGAACTAGGACAACCCATGACGAGAACTCGTCAAGGCGATTGATAGCAACGCAAAGGCAGTAGGTCCTGACAAAGAGCAGCGAACTTGAACGCAAGGATACGGAATCCCTTTTAATGGCAGTTGAGAACGCAGGGAAAAGGCTGATGAAATTTGCAGCAGAAAGCGAGGTTTTGACGATCATTGTCCTCGGCTTCGATAGGAATGCATATATTTGAAATGTTCCAGGAGGTTGGCGTAGCTGAAAGGTACGACAGTCACCCAGTACCGCTGTTTCATGGCTAACTTTTGGCAGACCAAAGTTCCCTCACTCCTCCCACACAACCAGACGCTGGTACGAGACAAACTTTCCCCCGACCCCTGACCATGAACGGCGGCGCAAAGAACCCCTTCCTAAGCTTCTCTCTGTCACAATCCTCCTCCAAAAGCATCGCCCATGTAATCAGCAAGCCGAACCAAACCCTTCAGAGAAACCCTTCCAAAACCTGAAGGTGCAAGCGAATATCTTTCCGCCACCTTACCATGAACGACAGCGCAAACAGCCCCTTCCGAAACTTCTCACCCTCAGAATCTTCGACCAAATCATCGCCCATGTAAACAGCAGGCCGAACCAGACCACTTAAACGGTTCTCCTCGAACCGAGTGGTAATCAGAGAGAATTGCAAGCATTCTTACCACGAACGGCGGCGCAAAGAGCCCCCTTTCTAGGTTTGTCCTCCTCAGGGTCCTCATGCAAAATCATCGCAGTGTAACTCGCAAACCCATCCAAAGCATCCGGATGCTTTTCCTTGAATTGCGTGCAAACACACGACATTCCGCAAGCATTCTTACCATGAATGGCAGCGCGAAGAGCCCCTTTCTAGGTTTATCCCCCTCAGGATCTTCATCCAAAACCCGGAGCACCGCCGCCTTGTCACGGGCCGTTTCGCGAGCAAGCCGCAGCCCTTCGGCGGTCTCCCCGTCCGCCACGTCAGCAGTGACGTCATCGTACTCGTCTTCGCTGCTGCTCTCGTCGCTGCTGTTCTTGTCGTCCATCCGATCGACCTGACAGGACGGAAGTCGAAAATCAGGTATAGCAACCCAGAAAATGTCAGAAAAGAGGGATTCAAATTTTGGAGATGTGAAGGAGTCGCCAAAGAGGGAAAAGGGTCTTTCAAGCAGTTCACAAGCGGAGAGACTACGGAATGCAATGACTAGCGTCCTCGAGAAAGGCCAAATCCGTGGCGAGTGAGGAATATCGAACGGCTTGAACCTGACCAGCTTTCGCAGGCTGCTTCAACGTCCAAAAACTCTGGAGGTGTTCTTTTTGAAAGAGTGTACAGGATGCGACTGCGCCGGTAACCGCCTTTTTGACTTCCTAAACCGAAAGTGTTCAAACCCATCGGGTTCACTAGCCAAACAAGTGCCACAGATCAAGTGCAGCAAATGTCAAAGTGCGAGCTCCAAAAAAGTGGCACAGAGAACGGGCTCACGCAAGCGTCACAGGCAGAAGGACGAGAACCAACGGGCACAATATCCTTCCAGAAGGGCGCACAGAAACAGCCCAGGAAAACGACCCGCACTTGAATATGCAGGTCCAGGTCTCCCGCGGTAACAAGGAGTCAGAAAAGTGCTCAATCGCAAATACAGTGAGGACCGAAACTGCTGCAACCCAACTCAAATGACACATCCCTTCGGAAACAGGCAGTAGTATCATAACTCCGTTGAAATACGGCTACGTTGAGTTGGGTCGTTGCCCAGGGACGAGTTACGTTGGTTTGGGGACTTAGGATGGTTACCAGAGTGGAGCATGTTAGCTTTGGGTTTCGTTCAGTCTTTCAGCCCGGGGGACGGATGAACGTAGGCCTGACTTAAAGAGGGCGTCCTGTGACCCGTAACGCCTGACGTCAGCCGCGTACGGTGAATTTTAATCGCACGGAAAGTCTGCCCGCGTGACGTGAAATTTGAAAACCGGTGTGAGTTCGACATGCGCGGCGTGCGGAAAAAGGAGAAAAGTTGCTCCGACCGAGTTTCGATCGCTGAATTCACGGCGAAGGTCAAGCACCCTTGCCAACTGTGCTAGGAGTCACCGTGCTTCCGAGTTGGTCCAAGAAAACTCGAGCCGGGACGGTATGCTATAGTCTGACGCCCTCTTTAAGGCAAAATGGAGGCAACCAATTCTGCTCCTCACCTTCCTCGTCAGCGCCGCGTGCATCCTCAGCTGCTCGGCGATCGCCTCCCTCGTCCCGTCTTCCACGTGCGCCTCGAGCCCCCTCTTCAGCGCTCGTTTCGCCCACTTGCTCGTGTTCTTATGCTCCAGCGTCATTCTCTCTTGCGCGCGCTTGAACTCCTCTTTCAGCGCCTCCTCGCGCGCGGCTTCTCGGTCGACCTCGCCCCCGTTCTTCGCGCGTTCCTTGGCTCGCGACTTGGCCTGCGCCCGATGGAACGCCTTGCTCTTGATCTTCTTGACGCGCTTCGCTTTCGACTCGTGCTGAAACAGCAGGCTGCGCATCTTGGCGAGCCGTTCCTTTCGCTCCAAGACCTGCGGAAAGAAGGTGAAGTGTACTGTCAATTCGGAGAGGTGGTTTGATAACAAACACAAAGAAGAAAGGAAGGGCTCGTGATCTTCTTGACGCGCTTTGCTTTGGACTCGTGCTCCCTGCTGCGCAGTGTGGCGAGACGTCCCTTGCGCTCAAAACCTGCGAGAAGGGGGCTGGAATATAATATCAGACGGGTGTATTCAGATCATCCATCCCTGATTCAGGCAGAACGAATTTTGGGCCTTCTTGACGTGCTGGGCTTTGGACTCGTGCTGGAAGGAAAGGCTGCGCATCTTGGCAAGACGCTCCTTGCGCTCCAAAACCTGCGGGGTGGTGGGGAGTGGGGTATAGAATCGGGGGGGCTGATTCAGGCGTATCAATTGAGGTGATCAACAGAGGGTTATAGAAGAAAGGGTCCTTGATCTTCTTGGATCTTCTTGACGGGCTTCGCTTTCAACTCGTGCTGGAAGAGGGCTGCACATCTTGGCAAGGCGTTCCTTGCGCTCCAAAACCTGCGGAAGGAGGGTGAAATGTCCCACTAAACAGGGGGCGTATTTAGAACCATAACTTGACAGGAAAGGACAGTGTCATGAACTTTCTTTGACGACTTCGCTTTGGCTTTGTGTTGGAAGAGGAGCCCGCGCATCCTGGCGAGACACTTCTTGCGGTCCAAAACCTGGGGAGAAAGGTGACAAATCGCAGCGCTTAGAAGAGTAGATTGAAGTCATTTGAAACGAAGACCACTCTTGGGCAGTAGGGGGATCGGCCTTCGCAGAAGCCCACTGCTCATCTATCTAGGTGATTTTCAGTAGCTGGTATTGTTGAAGCCCACAATCCCTTTTGTCTAGGCATCCAGGTTTCTATACAGTTCCTTAATCCCAATTCACTTAGACCGATAGCAATGTCAAAGACTCTGAAACGCAAAAAGCTTGCGGTAATGAGGTGTCCCTTACCTCTTCCACCGTAAGCTTATTCAGCTCCAGCGCCTCCCCCGCTTCCACGGTCCTCCCGTCCTCCGCGCCACTTTCCTTCAAAAGCTCACTAATCTCCTTCTCCAAATCCGTCGTCGGCACAAACTTCGCCGCCATCCCCGCCGTCGATAGCTGCGCGACCGTCCCCTTCTTATCCGCACTGAACACGATCGTGGGCGCCTCCCGGTTTGCTTTCACGAGGGGCTGCCACTTGGCGACGTCTGATTTGGTGTGCTCATACCCCGCCTGGCGCTCGACGCGCTCTTTGAGAGCGCGCGCGAGGGGCGCGGAAACAGGCCCCGCGCCTGATTCGACTTTCTCGAGGCGTTTTCGGAGGCTGGCGAGGTTTCCGGCGGAGCCGTCGAGAGAACCAACCAAGTCGGCGACGCTGATCCTGCCGCCGCCACCTGTGAAGAAAGCGCCGACTTTGTCAGCACAGCTGTCAATGCTTTTTGTGTAAGGAGTGGCGTGGCGCTCACTGCCGTATCATTAAAAACAAATTTCCCGCCGTGCATCCACACGGATGATCGATGCTTTCTTCCGGATGTGTGCTGTCGGATCGTGTTTGAGGCACTGCCGACTCAACCATACAAACCCATCCTGGCTGGGTTTGGAGTATTCGTTTTTCTTTGCCCACTGCACGTTGCCAGGGGCAAAATAAACTGAAGTCTAACCCTATCCTTGAAAAGACTCACGTCTAACAAGGGTGACGACGACGCCCACTTTGGAAACTTGACAAGGTGGCTTAGGACAACGCTGCTAAACAACCAGGCTTCGTAACAACGAAATCAATAGTTGCTTTTATTCACGAATTGTTATATAGAACTAAAGAGGCTGACCAGTCATTCTGCGGAAGCTTCAATCACTGCGGAATGACCCCTCTGATGACTTTCGCTATTTCTCGGAAGGGGTCAAAACTAGGGACCAAACACTAACCACAGTAGGAGCCAAGTGGGCTCTGGTGTCAAGAGGAGTATGCCTCGGAGCTTGACCAAGAATCGGTTCCAACCCATGACGAATGTGTCAGTTAACATCGCGGCATGCTGTGACGCAACTCTAGCGGCAGACCAACAAACTCGTGTCAAACAACATGTCCGCAGACCATACCTGCAGTCCCCCCGCCTGGGTTCAAGCTGAACTCCGACTCCGGAACCGCCTCTGAAAGCACCACCTGACCCCGCCTCTTGCTTTCCCGCCCGCGCGCCCCCCCCATCACCTCTTCCAACATCTTCCTATGCCGTTCCTCGTCCAATTCCTCCTCATCACTTTCCTCGTCGCTCTCCTCTTCCCCCCCCTCATTTTGCCCCGCTCTTCTCCCCCCCGCTTCCTCGTACTCCTCACCCTCATCGGCCCCCTCCTCATCTTGCCCCCCCACATCCTCGCTTTCATCTTCTTCCCCCAAAGCTTCTGTTTCGTCTCTACCACCCGCCAGCTCCTCGTCCGAGAAATCATCCGGGTCTAGTTCCTCCGACTCGTCAGAACCCTCGTCCTCGCTGTTCAGATCGATATCGCCGTCGTCATCGTCGCGGTCGGAGTCCCCTTCCGAAGCGCCTTCTTCGCCGTCCTTTTCAAAGAGGTTGCCGAACTTGACCTTGTCTTCTTCCGTAAAAGCGGCGTCTTCGTCGATCTCTTCGTCCTGAAAGAAGAAAGGAGACGGTGCTTTGAATGCTTAAATTCAATCATACCACCTAGAGAATTTCAAATGAGTGGGAGAGCTCATGAACTTGCTAGTGAATGTTCTTATGCGCATGTCCAGCGACATGACATTTTTCAATGCTCAACCTTCTGGGAAAATGTAAGCACCAAAACAGCCAAATAATCATATGCATGAAGCAACCTGGAGCGTTAGGCCTGCCTTGTGCAAGAAGAATGGGCGCCACGGCAGAAACAGGAATCATATACAGGCTGCTTGCAGGTCCAATGAATCAGAGATAAAATCGAAGAGTGGAAACACGCTAGGTTCATTTTTGCACAAGCATCAGGAGTTTGATGCCGCGACCTCTGACGCTTCAATCCGCCAAGATTCACCTGACGCAACAACTGAGTTGGCTCAATTCAGCCAACACTATGAGACTGAGACCTTGATGGTAATGGTGCTGATGAAAGTAGTGGAGAAGAAACTTTGGACAGCATTGGGTGGTGCATTCGAGGTTCCTGGCGCGTCGGTAGCCCGATGCATCTACTACTTGGATCCAGCTCAGGTAGTATTGACGCATTGCTAACGAGTTGTGTGCCACAAATCAATTGCTCAATTCGCTCCTGGTCTGAAGTGACAACGAGCATGATCACAGCGGCGTCAACAGCTGCTCGCTACCTTTTTAAAGGACAACCCACAAACCAAAGACCCAGTTTGAAGTAAGGGGAAGCAACCCCTGCCAGAAACTGCACCGGCAGCTCACCTCAAAATCGTCTGGAAGCTCGTATTCGTAAACGTCCACGTCATCATAGCGCCTATTCTTCTTCAGCTCCTCATCAGCCATTGGCTCCTCGTACTCATAAGGGGTGGGCAAAACCGCCCCATCCTCACTATCGCTTATGGGCTCACAAACAGCACCTCCCGCGTCCCGTTTCTGCTTCTTCGCCTTCGGCGGCAGCCCCTGCGGCCGCGCCTGCCGCTTTCCGCCACTCTTTCTGCCCATTCTGCTCTCTCTCTAATGATGCAGCTACCTCAATCCTGGTCTCAGGAGAAAAAGGAGTGGCTACCAAGCGGCGTTTGAGAGCGCTTGCCCAGACTCAGAGGCAGAGAGGAGAACTCGCAACATTTGACATCCAAAACATTCTGTGAATGTCTCGAGACTGCGAGGCTTTTTGACACCACATGGAGATTGGCGCCGTTACCACAGCCGTTCCTAGCTTCCACCCAGTCCCTATCTCACATTAAATTTCTCCCGACATGATAACCGGCGCTTGGTAATGAACGACGCCTGGCAAGGTGGCCTAATGTGTCAACAACCACTCCAATCAGAAAGGTCTCCAGCTGCTGTTTCTGGACAACCAGGAGCATTCTCCTGCGCATTTCTCCTACCTCTTTTGCCCTTGGCGTTCGTCTTCCGCTGGACATTTGAGAACAGCGCTTGAATATGGCCCCTCAAAGCTCGCTCCGCCTCAAGAACCTGCTCGTTGCAGGGACGCTGTCCGCCTTCGTTGTCGGTGCGTATGTGTACTCGATGAAGGCGGTGGGCACGACTGATCTTGACCGTGCGGTTCAGAAAGTGGAGAAAGAAATCGAGCAGGAGAAAGCTGCCGCGAAGAGTGGTGGGCACGCATAGCCTACATTGTGCCCCTGCGTAGCCTATCTGAGGGTACCACAGACCCTGACCGTGCAGTTCAGAAAAGTGAAAACAGAATTTGAGGAGGGGAAAGCCGCCGCTAAGAGTGGTGGGCACAAATAGCTTAGTCGCCGTGGGCATGTGAAATACCGGTGGTTGAGCCTGACACAGCGTGTCGGTAGTGAGGGTCTCACATATATCAGGCGGCAGGAAGTGGTTTTGAAGAGGACCAAAGGAAGGTTTGAGGGAACCAAGGCGCGAGTAATTCTAGTACAAGGGACTGGAATCCCGGCGCATTTGGACATTGGACGCACACCCCGTTTCGAGGTGAGCAATGTTGATGCCAGCAATTGCATCCTTAATGTCATGAAACTTTCTGGGCGGCGTTCTTTGGACTCGGTTCTGCAAGCTCGGGCCTTTGGTGGCGTTTGCGCCCCTTGTCTACCTCTGATTCCAGTTGCAAGTTGACTCATATCCCGAGTGATCAATGTTGTTGTAAAAATAAGAGCTGCTAGCGCTTCTGCAAGTTTAGGCGACAATAGAGGCGTCATATTCACCCGTGTCTGATGCACTGCAACAATTAAGCAACTTTAACCCATCACAACGTCACTAACCAAGAACAAGCTCCCTTTCACCGACGATCTTGATGCACAGTTGAAAATAGTCGTTGAACTGAGTCAGCGTCTCTGATGCACAGAACTGTCCTCGCCACCGCAGTGAGGTAAAGACAAGTCGCCTGCTGCCACCCTCCAGAACATCTCCCTCCCCCCCCCTTAATCACACCAACAAATGGAGGGGGGCGAGGCGGCCCAGATCTCACTCGAGGCGCAGCCGTTCGATGTCCACATCCATCCGGAGCTTCCGGTTGTCGCGGCGGGAATCATCACCGGGCAGGTTGAGATCTTTCGCTATGGGGACGACACACCGCCGCGCCAGCTCTTATCATATCCAGGTGAGCTTATTGTGCTTACTTCTTTTGATAATGGCTGCTTCTCTGACCAGTTCTTCGTTTGAGGAACGTGGCCGGCGAGAGAGCGGACAAGAAGGGAACCGTAAGAGTTGGGATTATGATCATTCGGCAAGGTTTTTTCCATCAATCACAGCGTGAGTGGGTTTCTATACCTGATGTTTCAGCAAGAAGGCTGTCGTCAGACCCGGCCAATAATGCTGAGACAAAGGTTTGTCATGGTCAGGCTTGCGGCACTATTATTATGAAACTCTGGGCACTCACCATTCAAAAGGGGCACTCAGGAGATAAGTTTGTGTTTGGGGCATCATCTGAAAGCCCCTACAGACCCTCGAGTGCTAAAGCCCTCGCTCTGACATAAATCCTGAATTTCCTGCTCACTTCTAAGCAGATCCGGATTAACGAGCATCCGAAATGAAAGCTGGATGTTGATTGTTAGGATTCTTCGGTACTTCTGCCGCCCACACGACTCATGCTGCGCATTGCGCTATATTTACGGCGGCCCGCTGCTGCTGACCTACCTGTCTCTTGATCATCTGTTCTGCTCTTCCGGGATTGAAAGCCCTGTATCGAGCAAGGAGTGATCCGGAAACTAAACGGTGTTCCCAATCCGCAGTGCACACGGACTCTTTTCGCGCAGTTATGGACGACGGCCGGCTGCTGACGAGTTCTTTGTTCCTGAAATATACATTTTGTACTCGTTCTAAACTCATGAACCAAGTTCTTGTGCTCTCCAGTTTCAAAGCTGTTCCAAGCAAGAGGTGCCTTCACAACTTCTCTTTGTTACCTGAATTGCAGCGCACACCAATTTGTGCCGTGCGCTTCGCTTCATGGACGGCGGCCGGCTGCTCATAAGCTATTGATCGTATCTGAATTGTATCTTCTTCTCTCCAGTCCGAGAGCTGATACCGAGCAAAGGGTAAACGGAAAAGCTTGTTCTTTACCACGAATCGCCGCCCACACCGATTCATGCCTTGCGCTTCGCTTCATGGACGGCGACCGGCTGCTCATACGCTATCAATTTCTTAATCGTATCTTCTTCTCTCCAGTCCGAGAGCTGATACCGAGCACAGAGTAAACAGAAAAGTACACTCGTTTCCACTGAATCGCAGCCCACACCGACTCATACCGTGCGCTTCGGTTCATGGGCGGTGGCTGGCTGCTTCTGAGCCATCTTTTTCGATGCTAACCTTGTGCTCTCCGGCTCTGAAGCCTCTGTTCCGAGCAAAACATGACGTCGTAGTCGATGCCCTTCTTTGCAGCCCACACGGATTCGTGTCGTGCGCTCCGCTTCATGGACGGCGGCCGGTTGCTGTTGAGCTGTTCCGCGGACCGCTGATTCGGTGCTTTCCAATTTCAAAAGCTGGTTCGAGCATGAACGATTCAAAGATATGAACTCAAGTCGCTGATTTGCAGCCCACACCGATACGTGCCGTGCGCTGCGCTTCATGGACGGCGGGCGGTTACTGCTGAGCTGTTCCGCGGACCGCTCGATCCTGTGCACGGACGCAATCACCGGGCAGAAGGTTGCGCGCCTCGAGAACGCGCACGCGGCCGCGATCAACCGCATGGAGGCGCTCTCGGAGACGACGCTCGCGACTGGGGACGACGAGGGGGCCATCAAGGTGCGAGCTACAAAGTTTGCAGTTTCAGATTTGGGGTACTTCTTGCTTTTGGAGGTGTAGTTTTGGGCCATCAGGGTGCGAGCTTCGATATCCGAAACTCTGCAGAGAACCAGCAACGGCCGCAATGGAAGAAATCAAAAGAAAGTGAAATGTACAAGTTGTTTGTGTGTCTCTGGCTAATGCAGCGTATGCTCTAATTCACGAGGCGCTGGCCTCCTATACTTCTTACGCTGTTATTTGTCTCTTTTGGGTTTCGGCTGGCTTGACATATGGTCATGTTGCTGCGTCTTCTTTTGGATTCCAGCTTTGCTTTGATTGGCGGCCGAAGCAATGGCTCGGCTACGTTTGAGGCCTCGCTTTGAGCGAAGCGCCTTTGAGCAAGGAGTTCGGGAAGGATGATGAAACGCACTGGGCACCGATTCCTCCGAAGGAGGAACACTGACGAAATGCTATGGGCCTAGAAAACCCGGATCTGACTTCCCGCAACTCCGCACAGTTGTTTGTTTAGCCATGGCTCGACGATTTTTGAATCTCGGCTGAAAGAATGTCAGTGCTGGACTTGCCGTAGTGCCGTTTCTCTGGCGCTCAAAGCATTGGCCTTCGATCCTTGGTACTCTGTTTTGCATGCTTCGCATTCCTTTCCAAAGCTTTGGCGCCTGTCCGGGATTGGACAGGCGCCTATGAAGCCCAACAAAACAAAGACGGGACACCTGAGCCGACTAGAGATATCAGTAGAATATGCGTTTTGATGCTGTTGACGTCGGTGTGAAGGGTGTTTGCGCATCGACCCTGCTTTGATCGCCTTTAGGACCCTTCCGACGTAGCGGTGGAGGCTTTAAGTCTTCCTCGGATGCCTCTTCTTTTCGTAGGAGTTCGAGGCAGTTGCAAAACCCAAAAAAGGTTCCTGACGCCCTGTCCGGAAGTTTGCTGCGATGAGCTTTCTAATTAGATTGCTGCCTTCAATGCAGTGCCGTCGAGTTTACAGGAGTGCTCTTGAATGCATGATCTGTCGGTTTCGAACTTGGTTGAATCCCAGTGTTGCTAAAGATACGGACGTTATCTGTCCTCTTTGCTAAGAATTGAAGTCTCTGCTAAAAGCAGAGCCTCCCTTTGCTACTTTAACTATGTCGTCCTCTTTTTCCGATGTATTTTGCCTCTCGTTTTGCAGCAGACCTCACCGGTCAGATCTGTGGGTTTGCAGCGTGTTCTTTTGTGCGCCTCAGAAGTGCTGCAAATCTCATCGATGGGCTTATCGCAGAGTATCGGCAGCAGCTCAAAATCTCAATGGCGATCGCGCGTCTAAGAAGAACAGCAAACAGACATATGCCGGCGTCTTCGATGCTCGAACTGCCTTAGATGACGCGGTTTTGGGGTACAGCTCTTATTGAATTGTAGCTTCGACTCCCTTTGATATTTGATCTGGGTTTACGAAACGATCTTTCTGACACCTTCTCTTTTTCAAAGTGGCACAAGAAAAAAAACCATATGTAAGGTTGTCTGTACGGCAGTTTCTGGGCTTTAGGTTGAGGATCCTTTACCCGCTGTTTCCGAAGCAAACCAATGCTGTTTACTACCTTGCTCCCTGCAAGCTTGCATACAGATTGACCCGCAGCTTTTGAATCTGAACACAAAACATACTCGAAGTTTGAGCCTCTCTTTCTCGTTGGTCCTGAAACAGGACGTTGTGGGCCGATTCGCAGCGACGGGTATTCGTTAACCGTTATTTGGATGTCGCCGCAAGCCACATGGGATAAAAGACCCCTTAAAGCTCAGGGAAAAGCTGACGTCATGTGACTCTCCTGCCTCCACAGCTCTGGGACACGCGCGCGCAGGACTGCACGGCGCTCTTCGACGTGCACGAAGACTTTATTGCGGATTTTGAACACGTGGCGGACTCGCAGCACCTGCTGGCCGCCAGCGGGGACGGGACGCTCTCTGTCTGCAACCTACGGAAAAACAAGGTGGGTTATCTAGACTTGCAGGCTTTAGAGGCTACGATATCTGAAATCTTTTAAAGCATTAGTTGGAGTGCTTGGCCTTTCGGGTTCGGGTCCGGGGAAGGTGGGGTTTTGGGCATTTGTAAGTAGTAGGAACGCTACAGAAGCGGGGACGGCATGCTCTCTGTCTGCAACCTGCGGAAAAACAGGGTGGGGAGCACAGAAAAATGGATATTGTTCAGCTTTGTTGAGTGTCTCTGGAGGTTGATTTTTAGATTCTGGGGGTCTGGAATGGAGGAGCTGGAAGTCGACGGGCGGGGACATGCTTCCCGTCTGCCACCTTCGCACCTGCGCAAGTTTTCGTGATTCTCAGTGCATTTCTGCGAAGAACACACGGCAGCGCTCTTTTCCGCCCTTCTGAACCTGTTTCTTGCTCGCCGTATATCTCAGGTACATCCCACGCTCTGGCTGCTTCCGGCGCTTTTCGGATGACGCTGACTAAAGTCTGTTTTTGAACTTCTTCCTCGCAGTTGGAAGCACGGTCCGAAAATGCAGAAGACGAACTCTTGAGCGTCGTGATCAAAAAGCAGGGGCGCACAATCTTGTGCGGCTCTTAGAGCACTTTCAAAGCACGTTTAGAACCGTTGACGTTTTCAGGATGCTGTTCATTCTCTTCCGGCTTGTGTCCTGGCGTGCAGTCAAAAGCGCGCTCTGAGAACGAGAAGGCAAACGTCAAGCTTCTGAGCGTCGTCACTATCAAACAAGATATCATTCCACAACGCACAAATTCCCAGGATGCTCATTTCGCACCGTTCTCGACGACACGTTGAAGCAGATTATGATTTCAGACCTCGTACGTTGCAGTTAGAAGCCCGGTCCGAGAACGCCGAAGACGAGCTCCTGAGCGTGGTCACCACAAAGCAGGGGCGCAAGATCGTGTGCGGATCCCAGAGCGGCGTTCTGAGCCTCTACTCCTGGGGCGCGTGGAACGATTGCAGCGACCGTTTCCCCGGCCACCCCGCTTCGGTGGACGCCCTCGTGCGGCTGGACGAAGATACGGTCGTCACCGGGTCGAGCGACGGGCTGATTAGGATCGTCAGTGTTCTGCCCAATAAGATGCTCGGGATCGTGGGGGAACATGCCGAATATCCAATTGAGCGGCTGGGTGAGTATTGAATTCCTCCTCCCGTTCCTCGTTTCGGATTTCGCATTGTTTCTGTTCTTCAAGTCGGGAGCAGTTCTAATAAATGAGTTTTTAGAGTGCCCATCATGATGCTCGGGATCGTGGGAGAACATGCGGAGTATCCAATCGAGCGGCTGGGTCAGAACCAGGGCTTGCTTTCCGTCTCGCGGTTCTCCGCTTCCGTTTCTATTCTCCATTTCCGTCTCCATTTTCTCCGATTCTCCGTCTCGTTACCGGTTTTTACCTCTTTTCTGTTTCAAAGTCGGGAGCAGTGGTTATCCTCCTGAATAGTCTTTTCTGCGCAACATCATGCTCCGGATCGTGGGGGAATCCGCGGCGTATCCGATTGAACGGTTGGGTAGAAATCGTTTCTCCGCTTTGTTCATCCTCTTCTCATATTGCGTTCTCTTAGTTTCGCAAGTCACGAGCGGCTTGCTTACATAGGAAAGCTCTTACAGTGCGCGATACGGATGCTCGGGATTGTGGGGAAAGCCACGGAGTATCTGATCGAGCGGTTGGGGGAGAGTCGTGTCATCCCACTCGGTTCGCGCTTAGACTTCCCCTTTGCTGCTAGCTGTCCAAGTCGGGACAAGTGTGCGGTTCTGATCGAGCTAAGATTCGAACTTGAGCCAGGCGGTTGTTATAAGTGCGTATGGGGGGCGTTCCCATTTTCACGGATTGATTGACGGGTCGGAAAATGACTTGTCTGGCCGAGCGACAAAGACGAGAAAGCGTAATCCCTTCTAAAAGACTCATCCCAAAGTTCCAAGTGTTATTCGGGGACATGTCAAGGCTCGATCCTTGGCACATCTCAAACTAAACCCGTACGGACCTCCTAATAATCTGCACATTGTCTGGTCCTGACTGTTTGTCACGTGGCGATGCAGCGTTCTCTCCAGACCGCCGGACGCTCGTCAGCGCTTCTCACGACCACACTCTCAAGGTGGGCGCGTCTTGCGTTCTTTCTTCCGTCCCTGTTTGTCCTCCTCCTTTCTAGTCTGTGCTTTATCTGCCTTGATTGTTCTCCTTGGGCTTCTCATTCTGCCCTTTACTTTCCTCTATCGCTGAGCTTTTGCTTAAAGCACTTGTAGATCACGTTCCTTTTCTCGTGCGTGACTTCCTGGCAACTACAGGTGACGTCAGATGTTGAGCCCGAGCCACGTGACGAGCTGGTAACGGGAGCATCATACTCATAGGGAACACGCATAACCAGCGCCTCTGTTTGTGTTTGTCGTTCTTGGCTGATATCGACTGAAGATGCATATCGTTACTCTCTTCGTAGGAGAGGGTCGGTTTCATAACTTTAACTGTTCTCTGTCGAAAGGGATGCTTATGTCTCATCCACTTCTTTGCGAGACGATGAACAAAGCTGTCGCAGGTGTCTGATTCAAAGTTCCTACTGTTTTGTGGAAGAATCGGCAGCGCTTTCTCCTCTCAAATGCGGAAAGCTCGCCATCCAATCGACGCCGCAGCCGAAGTGCTCGGAAAAGGTTCCAGCGCCGGTTGAGTCAGCATCTGTCAAATTGAGCTGCGAAGTAACGGTTCAGAAGGTCAAGGACTCAACACCCGTCGGTCGTACTTCGAACATCGAAGTTATTCCATCACCACAGCGAATGGTTTCTTTCGCCGTTTACTCTGGTTTTGCAACCCCTTTCGTCATTGGTCGCTGCCTTTATACATTCAGCCACAGTGCCTTTTTGAACGTCGGGCTTTCTTCTCTCCTGCACTCGTCCTCAAATCCAGCTAGGACAGTCGCCCGGGGATATCATAAGCAGATTATGGATCACAAGAACAGCGTTTCGGTTCATAATCCCGTTCACCCCCCGGATCTCTGGTCTAGCATCAGGATCTTCTCTCCTGAAAGCTCACGTAACGGCTCCCCAGCTCGCGTAGCTTGTGTGTTCCGTGATTATCCACCTCACCCTGTTTCAGGATTACGACCTTCCTTCGTCAGAGCTTACATATAGGCTCTCCCCTAGATCACATAGCTTACCGCTGTTATATGTTACTATTCGCGCAGTTGTGGGACACGGCTTATCTGCTCGAAGAAGACGACGAGGACGAAGCGAAGGAGGGCAGGCAACTAGAGTCGGCAGAAAAGCCAGAAGCCATGGAAGAGGACGAAGCGGGCGGCTCCGGGCGGCCGCCGGTGATGGTTGCGGATAAGGGGAAGGCCAAGGTGGATGACGTGGCGGACACGGAGAGTGACGAGGACAGTGATGGTGAGTGCGATTCGAATCACGGGCTCTGTTTTTAATGGTGAACCAATCTGAAGTCTGGGCGACCCCTGTCCGGTGCATAAGCGCATGAGCAGACAAATTCTGGGAATGCCGTGATTTCCGAGAGAAAGGACGAACTTGAAGTCAAACATAGAGCAGTTGACACCGGGAGCTGCCTTGATGATAACGGGTGGGCCGGTTGTCACGGGCTGTGTGGACTGTATCGCGTTGTGCTGTCAATCTTTGTTGTAAACCCTTCTGCGAGTCACATGTGTTGCGATCCGCTGCCGTTTTGCCGTCTTATGGTAGAAGCAGCGACGGGAAGGCGTCCGGGCCGCGTTTCCTCGACAGGCAGAATCACAGCTTTCGTTGCGAACGGGTCGTTTCAGTGGGAGGGGGCGTTGTGTCTAATGGATCGAATTTCTCTTGGGGAGTACCGCTGGAAGTCATGCCCAGATCGTGAGGTCTGCTTGCTTGTTGTCTTGGGGGGTGTTTAGAAATTGACCAGTGGTTGTAGGATAACGTATCTGATGTATTGTGAGCAACTCGCGATCGAGGGGTCAGGGTGTTGCGACTCTGGACGATTGCGATCTGACCATCTCCGGAAAACGCTCCCAATCCGCGGGCTGCCTCGAGGGTTTAAAGGCACCTCGATATGAGACTCTGCTGTGCGACTTTGCATTTCATATTTGCCGATCTCAGTTGCTCAGTCAACCATCGCTATGAGATTCCATCTGTAAGTTGTTAAGATGGGTCGTTCCTTCCGTGTTAATTGCAGCTCCCAAGAGTCGCAAGTCCAAGCGGAAAGGCAAGCGGAAAAAGGCAGGGAAGAAGCCGAAAGGTAGCAGCTTCTTCGACGACCTTTGACGTTCGCAACTTGGGGCCCCGTTAAGGTTTCGAAGATCGAAGGGTGGATGTTTTTTCTTTGTGAAGCGCTAGAAATGACGTCCTTCTGTAGACAAGGGAGCATTCGTCCAACAACCTTTGACGGCAGTTCCGGGTCGCCAAGTCGTTGTCATGAGCTTCGGGGGACCCTGCAAGCTTCTAGCCACTAGAAACATGATTTTGCGGATTGAGGCACCACTTCGCATGCCTTTGCATGGACTTGGCACGACTATGAGCATTTTTTGCTTTTACTTCGTACCAAGCTGCATCAGTGCATACATATGACGATCAGCGGCCGATCATGGCATGACTCGAGTCCGACGTACTCAGGCTGCGATAAGAATGACAGCTAGACTATGCGTACATATGATCCTGATCGTGCTGCCACGGGCGGGCCCAGATCAATGTCCGATCGTCCCATACATCGCGACCGAACTTATATAAATGATAGATTCATCTTAAGGCCACAGTACTACAAGATCTAGGGCGCGGCGTTCCATTGCAATGTCATTCTAAAAAGTATGCCTTTTGGATGCCACGGACGGTACTATAATTGTCGGAAGCCCATGAATGCATGCTTTCGGTCTTCGTTCGTTGGTATGCCTGGCCGGGCCAGAAGTCATCGATCCTAAATACAGATCGGCAGGGCGGCGGTGCATTGACAAGTGCCATAGCGGCCGTCCTCCACATCCGATCCAAAGCTTTTACACTATAAAGAAGATTAGTTCTCTTTTTTGGCCGCGCCCGTGCAAGCCGCGCGCCGTCCAACTCGTTCGATCAACTCCATGGACACGCCAGATCGAGATGGACTATACAAGTAGCACGCTTAATTACAAATCGTGAAAGGTCGAGTCGTGATTCGTCGTTTTGTACAAAGCGGCGCTCGATCTTAAGCTCTTTCTAACTCTTCTAGCTCCTCTCCCAACGTAGCTACGTGTCACGTACCATCGACTTACTCCTTGAGTCCATTTTGTTCGTCAATTTTGTTCATAGTCAAAGTATGGCTGTCCTTCATTGACGAGTCCGGCAGTTGCCATGTGAACCGTGACTACTTGGTCCAAAATAGGGATGTCCATGTCGTCAGGTCCAAAAGGGTCCGCCATAGCATTCGACACCTCACGCAAGGCGAGGGTGATTAAAGCAGTGAGGCCGAACGGGAGAAGGCTGTAGAAGTAAGCCATGCTGATCTGCAAATCGTGCAGGCCACATTAGGCTGCTAATCATGCGAACGTCCCAAAAGAATGAAAACGGTCCGCTTCGCTCGTTCAGCCTTTGGGCATAGCTCTTCAAAATGCAGAAAGGCGTGCTGGCTCGCAAGTCTTAAAACGGAGATAGATGTAAACGGCGAAGCCACGAAATAGGTCAAAAGTACGTCTTGTAAAGGCGGAATCCGAAGATCAAGCCTTGGCTCCCTCAACTTGGATTCACTGACGTCCTTCTCAAGTTCTGTTCGTTGCGGCTGCATCCTGCCTGCTGAAGAATTTTCTGGTCTGTGGGCCCCGGACTGAATTCTTGCGAATCCTTGTGAACGAACAGATCAAGGCTGATCTAATGCACAATCCATACCGGAAGGGCTTGCTTTGAGAAACTGGAGGAAGTGAAGAGGGAAAAGGTGCCTTTGTGAATGATCTCACAAGCTTTGGGCACTGCGAGATTCTGCAGTCACATTTGGAAAGTCTTACATAAGGGTAGCAGAGAAGAAGCAGGTACCCTAACGCCATGACGTTGAGCAGATGGTAGAAAGCGAAAGGCACCTGCGACGGTGACACGTGGCAAAGGAGCGGCTCGGTGAAGCAGGAAAGCAGCCTGACATTTCGGGCATGGAGCCAGCGATCCATGGAGACTTGAGCCTTTCAAAAGACGGGGTCAGAGTAAGGACCGCCGCTCAAACGCAAATGAAGATGACCAGCTTGGCCGAGCGCCGACATTCGTGAGGTTGAAACTTTCAGCGGAAGTCTTCGAAAAATTTTCACGATTCGAAGTCCGTTGCGAAGACATCATACATCTACACCAGTGCATGGAACAAGGCAACGAAGTTGAGAAAATTCCCAATACTAGAAAGAGATGTGCGCAGTGCAGAATCAGAGCCCCGTGCGGAGGCAATGTCAATCCCTCTGGAGCCACAATCCAATCGCAACTGCATTTGCACCTACCGGCATTGCAGCTAGGTTGTATATGACGCAGAAATTCGCCATGATCCCTGTCGTGAATGTTGCCAAGCAGTCAAACGTTCGCTCGGTGATGTGGCCCCGTTGCACCTCCCGAAACAAGATCTGCTCGATCCAGTGATGAAGCTGCAGAGGACTGAGAGGAGTGACGCCTGGTGTCACCTCATTCGCCTGATTTGCTGTTTCCTGAAGTTGCCTCGAAAACAAAGATTGGTGTTTGGTTTGGCAGGCTACCCAAATTGGATTTCGAAGTGGAGTCTTGAGGAATACAAGAGGAACTGAAGATCCTACTGACTCCGAACATCTTTGGAGCGTTTTGAGAACAGCAGCGCATGCCTGGAAAGAAAGTGGCGAGTGGGTTGGGGGGCGGTTTGGGTGACACCAAGGTGCGGGTTTATGCAGATTACAATGGGCAGCCATGCTTTGACAGCACGAATACTTATGGCCGCAGTGTCGAAACACTGTCAAGAATAAGAAGTGAGCCACACGAACTGCCGGAGTCGCAAGGCCCAACGCGCCCCTCTCAAATCTTTCGGGAATTGGCGTACGAAGATAATTTCGCCCCCCCGCCACAGGATCACTCACATTTTTATAGTGCGCATTGCTTCTTGCGGATAATGCGAGGCTTCTCTGATCTTGATACCAAAAAGAGTCGGTCACTTCTTGCCGGGCTTGCGACCAGGGCTGAAGCAGAACATTGACGCCTTACTTGATGACTCGCTTCACTGGCTTGCAACTTGTCGAAACTCCAGACGCTAGCTTGGTAGCCAACATATCCTAAATACACTCTGCAAACATTACTGGATTGTGTTTGAAACGGGCGGAATCTTGCACTTTTAACGGACGCTGAACGCATGACGACTCGAGCGCCTGGCCGCCGGCTGCTAATCTACTAAGGACACATATTAGATGGGGTTGGGTGCGTTCGACTAGGTCTTTCCGAGTTGTATCAGTGTCCAGAGCGCCACTCACCACAGGGAACATCGGAGCAGAGCTAGGCAGTGCCAGAATATGTTGCTGCTCTTGTGGCGACAGGAGACCGCACTTGCGCATGTAGCCAAACGCCCACATATTTAGCCGCTTTGCCTTGTAATATGGGAGCCACGTGAACCCTAGATACATCTGTACAACCACGTATTTCCGGATCTGCTCGCGGACAGCCCTCGCCCCAGGGAAGGAGTCGTCAGGAAGGTGTGTCCGAAGGGATTGCATGAACGCAACAGGCCTGGTTTAAGATCTTCCCACTAGCCATGTACTGCTGGAAAAACCTGAGGCAGAACACAAATGAGTCAGAATATTACCCAGATTGCAACCTTTTTTGGCTGGGATCTGCTATGGTTGGGCAAGTGCAGGGAAAGTTGAAATGCAGCCCAAAAGCCGAAATGAGCCGGTCGATCAAGATTTGATGCCTAACTTCAAGCGGCTCCCTCCGTGCATATGCTGCAAGACCAACTTGAAGCACATGACCTCCAACTCTTACCCAAACTCAAACACGTTGAGCTGGCAAAGCTCCGCAGCCTTTGAAAGTGCAACTACAGCCGAAAGATTTGCAGGCACTACTTGCAGATTGAACTTTCTGTTTACGCTGTGTCGGACAAATGACCATTTTTCGTGCGAGCAAGCGGCGCTCTGGCAGAATGAGAAGAAGGTTGACCAGAAAAGCAAGGGGCCTGGACAGCAACAAATGCTTTCAAAAGGTGGACACGTAGGAAAGGGCAATGTCGAATAGCCTATCCACGTTCCAGGTAGTAAGCCAGAGTTTGATACTTCTGCCTTAGGTTGCCCTCTTCATATCTTAGCATGTAGCCGAGGCTGTTCAAAATCAGGCTTCAGCTGACACGCACCTGTTGTAACTCTGCGTAGTCTGGAAGACCAGGCAGAAGGAAACCAGGGTCCCTAGGTAGCCAGTGTAGGTCGTTGTGCGCAGAAAGGGCCATGCAGAATCTTTTGCGGTGGCAGAATCAACGCGGCTGTGCTGGTTAGCGACCTTCCAGTAGACCACCAGGAGCAGCAGATGCAGGGCCATGAGCCCCCAGAAGGACGGGCTCAGGAGAAACAGCTTGACAGAGCTGCCTGATAAATGAAGGAGGAGACGGACGGGCTGGTCTGCATTGTAGATGAAGGTATCTTTGGGAATCTGCACAGAGAAGGCGCGTTCTGGTCTGTTGCTGATGCTCGTGCCTAAAGGCACCAGTGGATAAGCATGCTTCGAATTCTTCAGTCCCAATCTCTGCCCATTTTCGAAGAGACACTAGGGACAGCAACATAGAATGGAGTTTGGAAAGGCAGCCTCAAAAGCTGCAGGTTTCCAGCTGGTCATGTGCAACCTGCACGGCTCATGCGAAAACTGCCAGGTTGTGTATGAATTCATCGAAGCACAGAGTGCACTCCTCACACCTGGAGTTTGACAGGTCAACTCCAATCATTGCAAGAACCGGGTCACCTACACCGCTCATCTTCCAGGCTGTAGCACAAGATCGTCATGGAGAGCAGCTCGTTGATGACAATGCCATATTTAATTGTTCAAATATCAAAGAATCTACTAAGGCTGTCTATGTTGGTGGGGAAATTGCAACCCTTTGCGGTGAACTGCGGCCAACGTCCTTTCTGTTGAGCATATCAGCCATCCGAGGTCGAATCATAGAACAGATTCAGAGAACGTGCAATAAGCTGCAAGACTCCCAAGACTGTCATTGCCGGCCAGCCTGAGATGCTCACTGGTGAATTTACACCACTCAAGCCTCACCAGGTTTGCTTGTTTGAGGGGGATCAATTCCTTCTGATGAGGATTCGCCCCTGGTTGAGCTCCCAACTGGAAGACTCTCGCCTCCAACAGGTCGCTTTCCGAAAAGTCCAGCATCGACGTTGCCGTGAAGCGTTTGTGTCCCGGAGGAAACCTTGAGGCTCCCCACATGTCAATTGCCTCATGCTTGCGCCGGCTTGCATCTTCAGCAAGAGTATTGCCGGAACTAGATTCTAACTCCCGTTGGGGTTTCATTCGTAAATATCTTTCACTTCTTTCCACTTAGAATTTGAATGACGTGCACAATATAGCACTGTATATGCCTAAACCTAAACTAAATTCCGCAGATCCTTGCAGCTGACAATGTTCGTGCTGCAAGAGTCATCAAGAGATGATCAGGAGTCAGATACTGAGATACTTCTTGGATTAGTCATGGCGCTAGGGCCACCACAGCAGAAGCTCGGTCTTCAGATTGCTGGCTTTTCGTCATTGATCTACCTGCCTGGCTTTTAAGCTCTGGAGGATTGGACATTCTTCCGAGTTCCTACTGCAGTCTGGGACTAGAGCCTGTCCTCCACAATATTAGGTATTCAAAGCGTTGCAGAGTAGTTCCCGGGCGATGGACTGCAGGACCCATTTCGGCGATTTGATTGGTCGAGTGACGCAAGCTTAACGCCGTCGCTGATTTTCATACTGTGCCGCATCTCGGTTGAGGACTGTGGCAGACTGCCGTCCGGCGTCTGGTGTTAAGCCTGCGAGTCGAGCACGCTATTTTGCACGGCAAGCGCTTTCTCGGTGCTCCTTGCGGCAGACTCGCGGCCATCATGTACCTAGCTTGTCGCACCGAATTCATACTCTGTCTCGTCGATTGCGCTATCTTGGGATTTTAATCGTACCATTTGTCCGGTTGGGCAGATTTTTGCCCAATAATCAATTTCGTATCTCATGGATTTTGGGCAGCTTCATTTATCCATTTATTTTAATTTTTACGGGGCAAAATGATCTGCAAATCTTATATCGAATTTATCTTCAATTCACTGAAGTTTTGGGCAAGTCAAAGGATATTTAATTGCTGCCCAATCGGACAATTGGTACGGTAACTCCAACCCTGGACATTCGACAACAGTACCTACGGTATGCCAACGTGACTGCATGGACCAAATAGGTACCCATGTGGCATGAAGTGTACCAAGGGCCTCGAATTAATTCTGACATCTGCTAGGACTAGAACCAGGCTTCGTAAGTTCGTGGACTCGGCTTTTCCGCCGCGAGGCCGTACCAGAAACACCTCTGGATGACGTACGCGTGACGTGCCTTTTCACCTCGGACGGAGCTAGGCAGCAATTTTCATTAGGTAGGGCCAAGCTGCCTGTCACCTGAGGTGACCAATGTTACATACCTAAATAACGTAGTACTAGCGCCGGTAGTGTATTCGTACGTAGTAAAAAACCAAGATCTAGATCCAATGTCTAAAGTTCAAGGCTGGCATTGGAACCTTCAAGCAGCTCTGCAGCATGAAATTTTTTGTGCCCTCCTTATAATTACAAGCTAGTGCAGGCACCACAATTGACCGTGGTTGTAATTGTGCTCGCTTCGTGGATTATCATAAGTTCTGGTCAGCTGGATGAGGATTTCATGAGACGTGCTGGCAATAGAAAATGATGGATCGAAGAGCACTTTTGAAGCAGCTGGGCAGCTTGTAGGGCCGAGATTTAGGGGCTGGACTGTTTGCCCAACGACATGACGAACCCTCCAGTCCTGGCGCCGGCAGAGCTCAAATTTCTGCCAGCAGATGAACGAAACGCGGTTTGGCGGATAGCCTGGCCGGTTGCCACAGCAAATTGTCTGGCAAACCTTCGCATGTTGGTAGCATTTGCATTCTTAGGACGCCTAGGTCATGTGGAACTTGCTGGTGAGCTGGTGTGACATGTGGGAATCAAGCTTATTACAGGAAACAAGCTTACAAGAGTCAGACCTCTGGGTTGAAGCTCGTCTTGATTTCAGGGTTCAGGTCCTGCCAAAAAGGGCTCCCAGCTGGCACGTGTTCCAGCCCTCTCCTCATTTTGCAGTAGAGGGGATTCTGAACGAACACCTTATAGTAGATTTTTGTTCCTGGGTTTCTCTCTGAGTTCACAACAGACATGACTCGAAATGCTCACACTGGGTTGCTGTGGCTGTGCGTCTGCAGGGGGTGCCCTTCGGCGTTGACAGTTGCCAATATCACCTCACAATCCACGATGCTTGGTCTGTCTCTGGCTCTTGAACCGCTTTTTGGCAGAGCAATCGGTGCGAAGGACTTCAAGTCGATGGTAAGCACGCCTAGTATATGCACGTTCTATTCCACTGTGTACTACTGCAATTTGAAAGCTTGCTGAAGCTGCAACATGAAATTTGTAGTTGAGACAGGTTATCTGCCATCTGTGAAGTGCCCCATGAAAGATAGGCAGACGACATGCCAAGGACTAGGGAGATCTGGTCGAGCTTCTGTGTTAACTGTGGGCAGACCATGGATGCCGGTCAGCATTTCTGGTGGTGATGCGCTTTCTCAAGAGTATCGGAATCGCATTCACCTGTGACCCTTTGCAAACAATCTTGAATCAGAATAGCATCATATAATGTCCAGGTCATTTAAGCGTGCCAGCTCATGAAGCACAGCGCAATACTCAAGGGTGCAAATGCAAGCTTTGCTTCTAGACCAGTCTGAGGTTTGCCGCTTGAATCAGACGTGTGTTCAGTGATCAAAAGCAGGAAACCTTTTGGCTGCTCCTTTGGGTACTCTCTTGCTGTTGGTAGATATTAGAATGCAATGCTGTTTTTGCAGGGTGCATGGTTGCAAAGGAGCCTGATCATACTGTTGCTTGCCGACGTGCCCATATCTGTACTCTGGCTGAATGCTGAAGCAATCTTGCTGGCGTGCGCTCAGCCCAAAGAGATTGCCGCTATCGCTGGACTTTTCCTGCGGTATCAACTACCCCAAAATAGTCTAATGGCTATTGTCATGCCGCTCCGTCTCTTTGCGCGGTCTCAAGTAAGTCTGCCGCACATTGAGATGCATGTCGAGCTTCGATCCCGCTGCACTGTGAGCCAGAATTTCTTTACGCACTGTTCTTCTTGCAAAGTCCACAGGCAGTACATAAGAGCTCAGCAAATGTACTCCAGAATTCAAGTCATTCTGACAACTTACCGATTACTTCAGAGGAAAGGTCTGGCACGCTTGCTGAAGCACATGTGTACCATTTGTCAGCATGACAACAGGCTAGACTTGGAAAGACATATTGTATTGCTGATTGCACTTTTCACTTTTTTGAAACCGCAGTCTGCTCAAGAGCAAGGAAACCTGTGGACACAAAGCTCAACATCTTCCATGCAGGGCCACACGACACCAATTGCAATGGGCGCCTCCCGCGGATTTCTGCTCCAAATCCCCCTGAACTATCTGTTCATGGACTACATTCGACTGGGAGTCGTTGGGCCTGCAATTGCAGGGTACTGCTTCGAGATTGTGCACATCGTATTCCTTGTGTCACATGGAGCCTACAACCAGACATTCGCGCCGTGCTGGCCTGGATGGTCGCCACGTGTATGGGCTGTGGGTTGGGGTACTTTCTTGAGGTGCGTTCGTGCTCAATTTTGACATCTTACAGTGCGAGGCTGCTCAGTCTTAGGCGATCTTTGAGTGTGCAGCTGTGGGGGCCCTACAGCAAGTTGCCTCTATTACTGAGTATGTCTCTTTATACGAGTCCGAGGATCATCTACATCAAGATATCGAGCTTCCGTAAGAGTGAGTCCTCTAACGTCTTGCAATGAAGCTAGGACTGCGCCTTCGGTACTGACCCACTTACAGAAGCAGCCCTTCAAGCTGCGAATGTTGATGGATTGCATGTAAGCAAAGGCGGCCTACTGGCAGAGGTCTCACAGTACCAAACCATGACTCTGAGACTGGCGTTTGCAGACTGGGAGTTCCTTGCTGTGCCGCACTATGGTTGCAAGTATGGTCGTTCGAAACGCTGGTATTGATGGGTGGTTGGCTTCCGGTGAGTTCCTTGATCGTTGCCCACTCTTGCAGCTCTGTCAGTTGGCAGAGGAGTTGCAGATTGAATTGGCGGTCCGCCGAAATGTTGGGCATCCAGCTTTCTCGTTGTTGTTCCGCAACATCAGCAAGCAGAGTCGTATCAGCTAGGATTTCTGACACAACGAACAGGATTGCTCTAGGGGCACCTTGACTCTGAGCTTGTGGGTTATCAGCAGTGTGCTTCCAATAGACTAAAAGAAAGCGTGCAGAACAGAAGGCACCATAAGTAGAAGGTGGTCAGCCGTTTTGCCCTCTGTGTTCCGACTCCAAAATGCTTGTAGCCGCCAATCAGTTTACGCAGCTAAAATTTGCTCCGGCCTTTGACATCGTACCTTTGTCCGGCCAGACGATGCTACCTACTGAGCTCCGTGTGCGCGTGCAGAATCCTGCTTACAACATTGCTGCCCTTGCCATTGCGTTCTACATCAACGCTGTGCTCTCTGGGATCACCTTTGGTGTCGCAACGGCGTCAAGGTGAGTCATCTCGTCGTCTAAGGGCTAAGTACTTGACGTCGAAGACAAAGGCGTTACCAGATTGGTGGCAGGAAGTAAAGCGCTTTCTCGGGAGCGAGGCCGCTGTGCAACTGTTTAGCAAACAAAAACCTGCCTCCTCAAAAAGAAATCGATGATGGGGCCCGGATGAATTTCGTGCAAGCCGGCTCAAAGTGGAGGAGAGCTCCGGTTTATTGACTTCTTCATTGGAGCAAGTGACTTGCTCCAATTCGAATGCTTTCCGGGAGTAGGGTGCAAAGCTAGCCTGGGCCGTGTCGAACAGAAGAACCAAGGCCTAGCCTTACACCGCTTATGCCAACCGGGCCCCGCGGAAGCTCGTTCGTCCTTGGCTTTTCAGTCGAATCGACTCATATCAGATGCTCCGCAGTAGGCAAATGCAATAATCAGTCATGAAGAATGTTCTGGTCACTTGCAGTTACTAGGTTTCCGCATGGAAGGTACTGCTTCGCTGCTAGCGATTCCACAACCTTCATTTTGCTGAGCATCCTCAATCCATCGATAGCTCGGCGGCTCTCAGGACGGTGAATGCGCCTCACACACTCTTGCTGGTTTGCAGTACGCGAATCGCCATGGCCCTAGGGGCAAACAAGCCCCAGATCGCGGCTCTTGCTTCCAGGGCCTTCCTCCTAGTCGGCCTCGGCCTCGGTGCTGTGATTGCCCTTGCGCTTGCGGCCTTCCGTAACCCACTAATCGGCCTCCTGACTTCGGAGCCCGAAATGGTCCGCCGCGCATCCAAGATCCTCCTTGTGCTTGCTTTGTATGCCGTTCTAGACAGCCCACAGCAGGTCGCACAGGGTATTCTGCAAGGCAGTGCGCGTCCCCACGTTGTCTTCCTCATAGTGTTAATTACTCAATATCCAATTGGGATCGTTGCATCGTTCGTGCTTGGATTCAAAGAGCGTCCAGGCGTTAGTGGACTATGGATGGGGATGGTCATTGCTGACGTAGCACAATTAGGAGCGGAGGTGACCTTGGTATGGCTCACGAACTGGGAGATTCAAGCTGCAAATACGGGCACGCAACTAGCCAGATCCCTAGAGATAGTATATGCGGGGGAAAATATTAGCTATGGTGAGCAAGGAATTGAACGCCCATTGCTTACTTAGGACAAAGAAAAGCTAATGCTTTTCTGGTTTACTTGGTGATGAAATGTTTACGAGGTGCATCAGTCTCGCATCAGTGGTGCGGTAGCAGCACACAAAATGCTGATCGAACCGGTTTTAGATGCTCGATTGACATTTTTACGTAGTTTTCCCGCTTACTAGTTGCCAGACAGTCTCTCGCAGATCGTCGTTTCAAGTTTGATAAAGTCGTTATTGCATCCAATATTTAGTGCCATTATCGTGCCGACCATGTCATGCAAGATGGGCGTGACGTGTTTCTTATAGGATTGCCACAGTAAGTCAACATGTACAACTTGTCACGAGAATTAACACCCTCCCTTTCAAGTTTGGGGCTTCATTCCGCAGCATCGGTTGCTATGAAGCAAACGTATAAACCGTGATTTGTAGTTATGCGTTAACGATTGCACAACTTGCGGGTCAACCACATACTATATCAAGAAATCCATTGGCCGTTCTCCAAGACCTCTTGGCATCTCTGTCGACCACGCCCAGATCTGGTCAATGAATCTGTACCTAGCTGCAAGTCAAATCCACTTTCACATTGATGACTTGCTGGCGCGCCCAGGTCGTATCCATGCGCCACTCAGTCATTTCACAGCGACATATTGACGGTTAGTCGGCTGGAAAACAGATAGTCTCTTTGACGGGGACTCTAACGAGCTTCAAGCGGTAACGATGCATCATAGCCTACTGCCGGAAAGGATGCCACGTGTCACACAAAAGGCCTCGCTCGAGTGCCAATAATTCGGATGCGAGGATCGACCTTTTGGTCGCCTACTACGGCCCCAAACTCGGAACGGAAGTGTAATCCGGATCATGGCAGGCTTTCACCAATCGGTCTAACAATATAATACATCAAAAACAAGAAACACCTTTCAAAGGAAAAGAAGAAAAAGGACATTTCAAGTTTTCGCTGACAGCTGTTGCAATCCTGGCAATACGAACGCACGAACAGTGAGCGATCGCCAAAATCCGGGCGTCTGGAAGTCAGAAAGCAAGACAAAGCAAGGTACGAATCTTGCCAAATGCTGTTACGTTTGGCGCACCTGTGCCTGCAGGCTGCGCTTGATCTCGTCCAGATGCCGCTTTTGCGCGAACTGCACGAGCGCCGCCTCTAGTTCTTCCGCGCGGATATTTTGTCCAGGGCCGCAACCAGCTCCTTTTCAGCCATGTAATCTGCATCAAGAGCTGTCTTCGTTACCGTCAATGTCAAGGAAGGAAAGCTTATTCTGGTCGTGAACTCAGGTGGGGGTTTGGCAAGCGGAGAAGTCAGGAGAAAGGAGAGGAAGTTCGACAAAGCAGCTCGCTGAATCATACAACGCAGTCTGCAAAAGCTGCTCGATCATTAACAATATGCCCCAAGTACTGAATCTCAGTCTGAGCGTATTTAGATTTAGCCTTCGTCACGTAAAACTTCTCGTGACGCAGGACATCTCAAACCATACGCACATGCGTCTGGTGCTCTTCCTCAGACTTCGAAAAGATAAGAATGTCATCTAAATACACGACGACAAACTTCTTCAGATAAGGTGAAAAGATCGAATTCATAACGGTCTGAAACGTTGCCGGAGCATTCGTCAAACCTTCGATCAACACTTTGACCTGAAAGTGACCAAACGGCGTACGACGATCCTCTTCTGAGATCAAAATCTGATGGTAACCAGACGTAAGATCAAGCGAAGTAAAGTATTGAGACCCAGACACAGCGTCTAACAGATCATCAATACGAGGAATCGTACAACGGTTCTTAATGGTTATCGAGTCTTTAACGCTCGATAATCCACACACAAACGAAGACCACGACCGTTAGGCTTTGGAACAAACAGAACAGGTGCTCCATACGGAGACTGGGAAAACTCCACAATCTGCGCTTTAAGAAACGCAGTCACCTGCTTTTCCAA